CGCAACTTTAAAAGAGGAAAGGATGACTGCGGGTGCATTCCAAGGTAAATTTTTATAATAACAAAGTCGGATTTCGATTAGCGATCTAGAAGTTATCTACGCGATATTATATGAAATAGGGCCACCAAATTATATGAATACGTCCTTTCTTAGTCCGTACATTGCGCCGCAACGCTTGGGTTGGCAGCACGAAACAGTAGACAAAATTCGTCCAAAATACGATTTGTAGAGGTTTGCGCGCTTCGAAATTGACGCTTTATTTTTTGATATTTTTGGGTGAAATTTTCACAGAATGCTCAAAACAAAACCCCACACTCTGCTATAGAGCTACTTTTTCATTTTTCGCGAAGTTGAACAGAAAAAGTACGCACTTCAACCCATCATAAAACTTGTGCAAAAACAAAATTTCAAAAAGCGCTCCTATAGCACCCTGTGCAATGACCTTCTCAACATACTGTATGAATTTCATCCAAAAATATTGAAAAATGGAGTGTCAGTTTTGAAGTAGCTGAACCCTTGTAAATGGCTTGAAAGTCACCGCGTCGGAGCCGCCTTGAAGGACACTTATTGTAAGGGCCGAGTTTTTCTACCTGCGAGTGGCCCCAAAAGCTTTCCCCTGTTCAAAAAAAAGATCCATTTTATTGCCTTTTATATGTTTCCCAAACGCAAAATCCAGATGTCCCTATAGCTACCTATTGTACAGACATGCACAAGAACAGTTCCAATTCCGTTATTCCACCAGGCTAAAGCAATATGAAGCCGTATAGTGCATACCAAGTCCTACCAGGCCGTCACGGAAATAATAAAATGGAGTCAAACGTCATACACGTAACTGCATCGCAATAAAAGGAAATAAATTGCATCTATCTTACCTGAATGAACGCTCCGCACCAGCGAACAAAAGCTGCGCTTGTAGTACAAAAGATCCAGCTCTGAAGCGATTTAGTCGCTATCGTGGTTAGACCGTGATGCTTTGCTATTATGTTTTAGGTGCAGCTGAGTCAAACAATGGTGATGCTCCAATCGGTGCCTTGTTCGAATAATTAGAAAGAAATGATACCAAGTGACTGACTGGCTTCATTTTTCGATGCTTTTCTGAAAAGTCTTGAGCATAGTCAAGACTCATTTTAAAGCCCAGAATCACAGAAGGAAATTCCTACAGTATATTCAGATAAGAGATAGACCGGATGTAAACAAAAGGTTCGGGTGATTTTCACGCTAACGCCGCCGTCTCGACGTAAAACAGGAGCCCTGATTGGTCAATTCGCAATTAAATGCCTATGCCGAGCGACAGAGCAGTCGTATCAAGGCAGAGTCACATTCAGGTTCAGACGTGTTACGTATGTCGTGTGCATCATTGCAATTTGATATTTCTTTGGACGTTTTCGTTTGTTATCTTATTAAGTTGTTGAGTTTGTCGTTGTTATTGTTATACCTTGTTATTGTTATCAACTGCTTGCGCAAAATGCCCAGTAGTACAGATACTGCCGATGAAGTTGTAAACTCCTGTAGTCCACCTAGGAAACGCTCTAAAAAAAGACACCTGAGTGCAGAAATGAAAGAGGTCATTTCGAATATATATAAGATCGAGCGCGAGGAGAACGAGGCATCAACCATCAAAGAAATTGTTGTGAAGGTTTCTCACAAAGTTGGGGTGTGTCGCGCATCAGTGTTTAATGTGTTAAGACAATACAAAAAAATCACACCTTTTCTGAGCCAATGACCAGTAAACATCGCAAAAGTATTGTTAAATCATTGGATGAAGCTGATAAGCATGTGATTAGGAGGAAAGTGCATGAATTCTTCTTTAGGAATGAAATACCTACTATAGATAAGGTACTGCAGGAGGTAAATGGAGATACAACGTTGCCAAATTTCAAAACTGTGCTCCGTTTACCTCCATACCATTGCGAGCTCAATCCCATTGAGCTCATATGGGCCGAGGTTAAAAATTATATAGCTAAGCACAATACAACTTTTAAATTTTGTGACCTCAAAGGACTTTTCAAAGAAGCACTAGAATTAATAACAGCGCAAAAATGGGAAAACTGTATTAAGCACGTGAAAGACAAAGTTGAAAAGAGAATGTGGGAACTGGACAATATTTTAGAGGAACAAGTCGAGCCATTCATTATTGACGTTGGTGCTTCAGGCAGTAGCGATGATGAAAGCTCATCAAGCTCATCTTTCCAATAAAAGATGTCGTTCATCAAATTCGGTAAGTTATAAGTAATTATAAAGCTACTGTATTTTTTAATTAATTATTGACATTTTTGAACCCATTTTGGCAAAACCTATTCAAGAATCTACTTTCTGACAATGTTCAACCATGCACATTTTCTTACGTTTTGAACGTTTTAATTTGGTTACATATTTACCTAGAAATCAAAAAATATACTAATCAGTATTCTAAAAGCAATTTTAAGAGATATACGATTATTTTTAATTTAGGCTAATTTAAACGCCATTTTGAGATTATATTCGACTGTATTTCACCAAACATCAGGCGGCATCCGAAGCTGGAAATGGAAGCGAAAATTTTGAAACCCTTATGTATATTTACATCATTATATATTTCTCACCCCACCCCCACATGATCCTATATCCATCACCAATCGTATACACATCGAATTGTGCTAATTTACTACAAAGTTACGCAAAGCAGCATCTACTGTCTAAAATATGTACTGCGTGACTCTTAATACGTCCCTGCCGAATGTTACAGCGTTCGATGATCACGTGGTCTTGTTTATGTCCGGTCTATCTTTTATCTGAATATACTGTAATTACATCTTGTTGACTCGCAAAGTTTGAAATCAGCTTTTCTCCTTTTTTCACTTGGAATACAGCTATAACTTTTAATAAACTTATGTCAGAGTTCTGTTGATTCCATTTTGTTGTACATACTGCTCAAAAAAATAGTTTTGGCCATAAATAACTTTGCGCAAATTGACAAAGAGATTAACGGAAACGATTGATAGAGAAACTGATCCGATATTCATATCACAAATAAAAAAAGCGTAAAAATATTTTTACGAGAACACGGGTAATAACTATGACATGAAATTGTATTTGGGATTTTGCGTTCTATTGATCCGGAAGATACTTTGGTTAGATCCGATGCCGAATTTATCTCCACTAAATATACCTGTGCCTCGACACCCGTAAATATTCCAAATGTCCGATGGATGGATTCAATATTAATTATTCAATTAGCCTAGTTTTGCTAGCTCTACCCTCGGACCACCTGTGCGACAAATGAACGAACGAACCTGTGAATGAACTTCTGTAATGTGTTTTGTGTGACGGCAGATGTTTCTGTGAAATTTTTTGAGCAAAAATAGCGACCTATATACCGGCATTATCGGACTATTGTGGTATGCCAATACGGTACATTGAATAGTTTGGTGTGGAGTATTTATAGATTTAGCATCTTGTCGATTATTTTTGGAACTGGTGCTGAATATCGATACAGGCTTTGAGCTAGTTGTTTACGTATGGCAGTGTCCGGTTTTTAGGCGATTTCGGCATTTTCGCTACGGTCTCACCGTGACTGGAATGACTAAGAGGTTTAGAATTCCTTGAAGTGTGAGGCTTCCTTGTTAACAATAAGACAGTGATCAATCTTTGATGAACGTTCAAGGGCGGATTTTAATTTTCATTTCACACTAAGCTATAACAGTTGCCGTCACAAGCAGTCATCTATGTCAGAAATATGTTTCTTTAATGGTCGTATCTGTTTTACCATTGTGATGATACTGTGAAATACTGTAGTAGTTGAATCTGGCAGACGTAATCTACAATCTGCAACCAGCAGAGCAGTTCGGTGCAACTGGTTGCCTGTATTCAGTTCTTTACTTATCTGTGATTGCACTGTAGTTCGACGAAGCAATGATATTTGTTTTGCGTTGTTTATTGAAACCAAATCGTACCAATTTTACCACTAAAATCGTAGATAGATTCAGCCAGCAAATACACGACTTTCTGACGTTGATGACAGTTACTGTGGGGCCGTTCAAGTATTACGTAAGCAGATTTATTACAATTCTTTACCCCCCATCCCCCTTGTCAGCAAAAGTATTGATTCCGTTCGTCTTCTATCATCTGCTGCACTGACACATATCTTCTAACTTTCTTTTCATACCATCCCTGTGTTTCTGCTGGGCAACTGCGTTTTGAACCTTCCTGTTTAAAGACTGTTTTGCTGTTTTTATTTCCTCGCGCAACTTAATGATCTGTTTATCAACTTCAGCACGGCCTGGCATAGTATCTCTGGCAGAATACATGATAGAGGAAATTTAGACAAGTGAACACCGCGCGGTAATTCCCCTACTCGGTTCTAAAGCGAGTAGGGGAATTACCGCGCGCTGTTCACTAAACGTATGCATTATTTGCGGGAATCCCCGAAAATGCGTTTCGTTTTCAAGCAAAGACAATGCGAGGGTTGCTATCCGTGTAAAAAAGTAAATAACTACCGATCACGTAATCATCATCTAGACTCCCCTACCCCCCATGTCATCCAAAATAAGCAAAGCAAGCCCCCCATAGTGCTCACGTAATACTTGAACGGCCCCTGTATAATGAAAAAGTCTCCTCTTGGAAGTTCCTCTGCTAACTTCCAAAAGCTGATCTTTGAACGTAACATAAACTCTACACCAGATCACGTGTGAAATTCATGATTTTCAATTCCAAAATACGCTTCTTATAAAGGCCTGGGTATAGGTTTCATTTTCGTTAACATATTACAAACTTTATACCTATTCGCAGACTTCATCAGTTCGTAAAGGATTAAAATCAGTACAAGTTAAACCTTCTGAAAAAGAAACTAACAATGAAATCAGACGGATCAAGTCAGCCAAACAGGCTCATACAATCAGATCATAGACATCCAAAAAATAACTAAAGTGAAAAATATCCAATGCGTTATGTAGCTCCTGCATGGTCTGTTAGTAGCACTCCATTCAATGATACGGATTTTGAAGTAGTTTTTTCCTTTCCAGCAACGTCCAGTGCAGGTAACAGCGGTCTCAAGTGGGTACGCGTATCGGTACCTCAGTACCGGATCCCTGGCGAATCTGCGACCTGCTACTGTGACTACGATCTGGGCAACGATACGCTTTATGCCGTGAAATGGTACAAGGAACACGAAGAGTTCTACCGGTTCGTGCCCAAAGCGAGGCCTCAGAAGACCTGGTATAAGGTGGAAGGTGTGCATGTAGATGTAAGTGTCTATGGTGTCATCTAAAAATATCTCACACCTCAAATATACTAAGTGACATACAATATATATACGCTGCGCGTTCATGTTACCTCTGATGAAGATTAAAGGTGACCTGGAACCATAAGCTATAGCACCCCAAACCATAACTCCAACAGTGTGATGAACATGTCTTTCAACAACAAACCGTGGATTCCTCCTTTCACCACGTCGCCTTCTAACCCTGGCACGACTATCGTGCATGCCTAAACAAAATCGAGACTCGTCACTAAAGACAATACTGTTCCATTCCTGATCCCAGAGTGACCGTTGTCTGCACCACTCAAGGCGATTACGTCGGTGTTCTCGAGTTAAAGGGAGGACCCAGTGTGGCCGGTATGAGAACAAGCCAAAACTTCTCATTCGTCGGTAAACACTTCGCATACCAATAGGTCTTTCGTGTTCTGCAAACCATTCATTTGCAATGGACCTGGTAGTGGAGAAACGGTCCCTTAAGGCCAATAACCTCAGGCGGCGATCTTCACGGTCTGTTGTTCTACGGCGGCGTCCGGCATTTAGGCTTCTGCTTCGATAAAAAAAATCTAAAGATTACCTATTTATTAGCCACTTCAAATCTGTTTTCAAATCAAGGTTTGATGATAATAATAATAATAAAAGAAAAAATTAAATACATAATACTGTATTGAAAGATATATAATAGAAAAACATTAAATTAGAGAATTTATACCACACATTATATCTCAATTGATTCTTTCAGTCCATTTGCATTATCAATTCTTAATAATCTTAGGCGGCGATCTTCACGGTCTGTTGTTCTACGGCGGCGTCCAGTGCCCCTTGCTCTTTGCGTACGGCCTTCTCAAAGCCATGCCTGACAACACCTAACCACAGTGTCTACACTTCTTTGCGCTCTAACTGCAATTGCCCGAAAAGAAAGTCCAGCTTCTCGAAGTCCCACTATACGGCCCCTATCAAACTCACTAAGTTGACGAAATCGTACAGGTCTCCGTACTCTACGCATCGTAACCGATCGTAAAGGATGTCAAGAATCAAAATCCGCCAACGTTGATTCTTTTGTTTAGTTTTGTTTTGTTAGTGAATTAAAAAAAAGCAGTATAAAAACCGGAATGTCCAACTGATAAGGCTGAAAATTTTTTCACTTGTTATTTACAGTAAGATAAATACATTCACCAACTTTTATTAAAATAAAACCGTTTTAAACTGGGTGTTCGGATTTATATGTCACTTAGTATATTAGTCGTTGTGTGTAAGTGTTTAATTGCATTTTTTGACCACTCAGCGACACATTTCAATCGGATAGAATTTTTTTTTTATTAATAGCATGACTGACGGATATTTCCCTGATAGTTCCAAAATTATGGTTTAAATAGGAAAATACTATTAAGAAGATACTAGATTCGGGAATAGGCAGTGCTTGATACAACTAAAAGAGCACTACAAGTCGCATTGAATAGAGTTAAATTTTCAGAGAAAATTACGTCGTTCTGTTTTGACTCACCCTGTATGTCTCAGATAAAGTATGTACAGAAAAAACGTTGGATATGAATGTCTACCGCTGTTTCCATCACTCAGTATAATGAAACAGATTTTATCGAAAGTGTTAAGATACGTGAAGTCAAATGTACCTCCATAAAAATCCAGATAACGACGACATTAAATCTCACATACTCCTGAAACTTATTATCAGCTCAGATATCTGGATTATGATCATTATTACCCGCAATTAGACTGTTAACTTAAACCTCCATAGCCGTTGTACCTATACATCTTGTTCTCACTACGTACTCGGCAAAAGAACACAAAAAGTGATATAAAACAATAAGGATGGAAATGCGTCACGTCGGATTACAGCTTATATCTTCCTGACAGCATCCCGCATAACGATTTTGTTAGCAGAAATTCTTTCCGCGGCGTCTTGTATCCTTTCTATTCATCTTCAAGAAAATATTATTTAAAGTCGACGTATTCTGCCAGCAACGATCGCTGTAAGGGTGGATCTTATGATTAGAAAGGAGCGCTCTGACTAGTGTTTCAGAAATTCTGATATCCCTATCTCTGTCTCTATCTCTCTGATGCAGATTGTGTCCTGTTGGATACTTTGCACGATGCATCTACTCCTTTGCATCACTAACATTTGCTACTTTCATACCATTTAATCTTCAGGTTGCTACAGAATTCGAGTTCTTAAGGCGGCTCCGACGCAGTGAGTTTCAAGCCATTTACAAGGGTTCAGCTGCTTCGAAACTGACACTCCATTTTTCAATATTTTTCAATGAAATTCATACAGTATGTTGAGAAGATAATTGCCCAGAGTGCTATAGGAGCGCTTTTTGAAATTTTGTTATTGCACAAGTTTTATGATGGGTTGAAGTGCGTACTTTTTCTGTTCAACTTCGAGATTTTTTTAAAAAGAACCTTATGAAAAAAATGAAAAAGTGGCTGTATAGCACACTATGGGGTTTTGTTTTCAGCACTCTGTGAAAATTTCGAAGCGCGCAAACCTCTACAAATCGTATTTTGGACGAATTTTGTCTACTGTTTCGTGCTGCCAACCCAAGCGTTGCGGCGCAATGTACGGACTAAGAAAGGACGTATTCATATAATTTGGTGGCCCTATTTCATATAATATCGCGTAGATCAGTCGTTCTGCAAATAGGTACTCATAATCGCGATCTCCTAGATTTTAAAGCCGTTTTACTTCCCACATCATTGGCGAGGAAGTATTTCACCCCCCGTCACTCCTTTTCGAATAATTTGATTTATTTGAAACATTTTTTGCTCAGGTATGTGGATAGATAGCCGTTCTCGATCAATCTTAGTTTCTTTTATTTTCCATCAATTTCCTTTATGCTCAAGTCGGGAATGCAATAGAAGAGTGAGAAAGAGCTTGTTGCTACATGTTTCAAGCTAGTTGGAAAAAGGAAATATTCATTTTAATTTTTTTACATAATCGTATTCAGAAGAGATCTGCTTCAAACGCAGTTTTGGGCGTGCAGCAAGGGTATTTATCACCTAATCCTGCGGGACCGGACAAGACGCCGTAATATCTGAGCCCTTATCACCATCCCAGGCTTTCTGAGCAGACTAGGAAGTCAAGTTCCTGAATTTTATTTTGTCTAACATATTGTTTTGAATCATCGTTAAAAAGGACTAATGCTGGAAGGCACTTACCCTTACTACTTACTAAGTAGTTTTAAAAATAACTTCACCCTATTGTTCTTGTGTTGCATTAAACATCGAGTCGATTCAGGCATCGCAACAGACGCTTATGCAACTAAAGCAAGGCTTTAGCTTCTTTTTATGATTCACTAGTCCCTGAAATACACTTACTAGTGAATGCGGTATGCGATAGACGTTCATTCAAGTTTAGCGTAATCGACAAATTCCCTCGCTCCTGGCGTACCAGGGACTAACGCCGTAGCGCAACGGCAATCATTGCTGGCGATACTATCCCTTAATTAGTGTGTGTGCAATATTGTTCAATCAACAACCGGCCAGGTGGGGATATCTCAGGAAATGCAACCGATTAGTATTGATACCGGACGAATGGTAACTGCACAAAATGGTAATAGTTCCGCAACGCGATGAATCTCGAACTGCTGGCTAGCGGGACATTTAATGGAAATGCAGCAGTCGGACATCTAGCTTAGACCTCCAGTAATGCCATCTGTGAAGCAGATCCAAACATTGATAACTGACGTTTATGCAACACGTACAACTACGAAACGAGTTCGCGCCGTGTCCATAAGCTAGGGCTAGGGTAACATCTTGTATAAAAACCTACATAATCTCACAAAAAACCAATACAATGTGCATGAACTGGTACTCAAATTTTCGCGAAATCGGGAATAGGAGAAGACAGATGTGACGTCATCCAAATGTCAAAAAATCACGGTTAACCGACTAACGTAGCTGAGGTTCTAGCGGGTGACAGGTCTCATGTCAATGTCACACATATCTCAACTGCAAATTTGTATTCGAAATGAATTATATTATTAAATCAAGACAGTGGAGGATCAGATTTTAAATGACCAGGGAGAATACTGATCAAATCATCGTAGATATAGGAACCGCACGTTTCATATTGAACGGCAGATTTTATTGCACAAAAAACGATCGATCTTTATTTCAGATTCAAACGAGGCAGCTAAGTATCCTGGGTTCCCATTTGAACCAGAAATACAAGCAGTCCATCATTGGAACATTTCTCGCAGTTAACCTTTTCTTCACCAGCTTATTAGTATTAAAATTGAGTAGATACCTTTGTGATTGTAATGATTTCAAAAGAAGTGATGTCGTGAACTTTATCTAACCATTCTTCTCCCCGAGGAGCGTCAACTCTAAAATAAGTATTTCTGAAGAAACATACTGTTGTATAGTCCAGATGTAAAAGCTTCACAACTGAACCTGTCGAATCTAAAAAGAATTCGTGAATCAGAAATAGTAGTTCAACCATTTTTAAACTTACACGAGACACAAAAGGACCAAGCACAAATTTAACGAATTCCAGATGTAGAGCACTTGAACATTTTTATTTCAAACCTGCTTCTTTTACTTTTTATATATTGGCGAAAATGCAGTCTACCTTTATAAAGCTTTAGGTGTTCATCAATAGCAAAAACTGGTCTGGGGTCCACTAAGGTCAAGCAGTTATCTTTTAGCATAGCCATAAAAATGCCAAGTCTACTAATGGGAGCTCGGGCCCTAGCCGCTTCCGGGGGAGAAAATCTAATAAACTTCAAGATAGTTAGGTACCTGTTTCGGCTCATTATTGTTTTGTCAGACACATTTGGTCACTAAGTATAAATCAAAAAATAACAGTAGTAAGTTAAAAAATGATAAATCATAGACAATTATAAAAAACAAAAAATAAAAACAGTAGTAAAACAAAAACTAATTCCATGTAATTATGAAAATCAAAAAAATAACAAACAGCAGTAAAATAAAAAGTAGTATAAAACAAAAAAAAACAATTCCAAGTTGAATAAAAAGCAATTCTAAGTGACAACACAAAAAAAACAGTAAAAACAGTAGTGAAACGAAGAACAATTTCATTCCATCCAAATTGCCTTTTATTTTACTGTTTGTTATTTTTTGTTTTTTTTTTATAATTAAATAGAATTGTTTTTAGTTTTACTACTGTTTTAAATTTTTTGTTTTTTATAATCACTTAGAATTGCTTTTATTTTACTGCTGTTTGTTATTTTTTGTTATATACTTAGTAAGAATCACTTTTAATTCTACTACTGTTGTTTGTTTCAGTTTTTTGTTTCTGTGTTTCATTAATATAAATGTATATAAATTTTCCACTTTTATATTTTTCTCTAAATACGGAGCCCAATCCGGCAACACCGCAGGCAAGCGCCTCTCATACATGACATATCCACAGACGTCAGTGTCATATGGTAGATTGCGGTGGAAATAACTGCTAAAAAATACAGTGTTTTGGGAAAAAAATTTCATGAAACGCGTGCTTCATCCACACTTTTTATGATGTAAAATAATTTATCAGACTACCCTCTATAAGTTTCAAGTGAAAAAACAGTAAAATCCGAAGTTCCACAAGACGCAACAGTACCGAAAATAAATTAACACTTTGAACAGTCTTTTACGTGACACATTTAACAGCTGAAAGTCACTCAATGGCATTGATTTCAGACATAACTGACACTTTGCTCAGTTTTACTGTCATCAGATGAATATTTGCAGTCCTGTATGGCCTCATTGACACGCACATTTCTATTTCGCGGACAATACTTGCGATAACGTCCCTAATTCACTACAAAACTGCAATAGTGATTTAGAGCAAAGCACTTACCTCGGTCATGCTGTGGGCCGCAATATTTGCACCGTACTTTACATCTCCTTGCAAACCACTAAAATCAAGCACCTCCGGTGTTTTAGCTTGATTATTGTCACTTATTGTTACGCAAACCGTTAGCAACACGACTCATAAGATCCCGGGATATTATTTCCGACCCGGCAACGCCGCCTGTCGCGATCGGCTGTTTGAATTTTCGAGAGTGCCGCGGTCCGAATAATATAACCGCGTTCTCCTCGGAGTCACAAAAATCCGTTCACGTTTCAGTCACTTCACGACGCTTTACCGCGATCACCATGTGATGTACGGACCCTCCAGGATACACAGGATAAGGAACTAACTTGCAAGCACTCGTAAAGCGATTTATTGAGCTCAACGATACGTTCAATCAGGACAGCGCGTTACCCGTCACATTGCTGATGAAGCACTGGCTTACATAGTTGTCAAGTTCACCGACTTGGAAATACATATGCGTGCTGAATTTGGACGCATCATATGTCACCTAAGTAATATGTAGGTATACTTTATCTGAAGTCACTTGAAATAGCATAAACACCTTTGGTCGGCGCGTCCTTTGTAATTTCATGACGTATCATAGGCGTGCGGTCATTTATTTAGAATGATAATAATAATGTTTTTATATCACAATAAATGGATTTTACTATCTTCTTATTTTTTTGATTTGGGATAAAAAATACTTATATTGGGAGTTTAATTTATGTTGACTGAAAGTTAAGAAATGGAAAAATTACAGAATTCCAACGTTTGACATAGGCAAATATTTACATAGCAGGTAGGTATATAAAAAGGTATATAAAGACTTACATTATAGGTATTTATATATCATCCTCGCCTTCGGAGCTGTCGCTAGAGTCATCTTGTAGAGGACTTATAACGGGATTTACAGGAGGCAAAACACAATATTCATTTTCTTTTTCAATAATATGCCTAGAACACTGCTTCCATAGGTTTGTGGCAGCAATATGAGATACTGCATCTCGTATTGTGGCCAATAGCGATTCACGTAATTGAGGGGTCTGATTATGTTTTCTTACTTTTTTTTTAAAGCAACCCGACCAACTCAATCGGGTTAAAAATGCAGTAACAGGGAGGTAGACGTAATACTTCATGGCCATTTTGCTGAAGCAGATTGTCAACAACATACTCTTTTTCAAATTTTTGTCTTTTAATAAGATCCAATAATATGGGCTTTGGTTGATTTTTTGTGGTATTTCCATTCCCGTATCCTTCATAAAATCAATAATGTCTTGTTTTTTGTGCCTGTATTCGGAATTTTGTTTTTCTGTCGGGAATGGTATGGCGCGTTGTCCATAATAATCACTGAATTTGGGAAATGTTGGTATTAACTGCTGCTCTATCCACTTTTCAATAAGTCGGAGGTCATGTCCTCATGATAGTCGGCACATGATTCTTTGATATTTTTGGCAGATAACAGCAAGGCATTAGGTATAAATCCATTTTCACTGCCAGCATGGAGAATAATGATTCGTTTTCCACGGTTGCATGGTGCATTTAAAATGCACTTGTTGCTGTCGTCAACCCAGCCGTACTGCACAACATCATGGGTATCATACCACGTTTCATCCAGGTAAATCAGATTTCTTTTCTGCTCTCTATAGATTTTAACTTTGTGCAAAAATTCTTGGCGCAATTCAACGATTCGAGACGACTCCATAATCACCATTCTTTTATCTAATTTTTTGTATTGAAAACCACACAGTTTTACAATACAGTGCAGTGAGTCTAAGCATTGTAATTATAAAAATCTTCAGGATAATCTTTTAATTTATCCCGTATCATTTCCAACGTGGGCACCAAATTTTCTTTATAAAATCCGTATATTATACGACGAATATCTTCCTGAAAACCCACGTCTATTCTTTTTAATTTTTGCCCT